TGTAAAGATTAAGGTTCACATATTATAACACAGGCTCGGATGGAAGCATAGTCTGTTGCTCATTCTTACCTTTCTCACAGGAATTCACAATGAACAACTATTTTTCTGTTGGACCTGATGCTCTCATGGCTCTCAATTTTCATGCTCATCGTGAGAAGGCACCGTCTCTGTTTTCTAGCAGATTCTTAATAAGGTGTGTTGGATAAAATAACATTTCCTGCTTATCACCGAAGGTACAGTAAAATCAATAGTTCAATTATATTTAGCACTTTTAGATTTGGATCGAACTAACTTAGGGAAACATAGACTCTTTTTTAAAACCATCAAATTAGATCCTTAATGTGTCTTTTTTCCCCTCAGGCAGTGTTCTTTAAATATCTTTTATCAAAGTATTTTATAGCGTAACTAATATTTTTAAGTTCAAAGTTGGGATGTTTTACAGCATATTTTGCTTAATGGCAACTTCAATGGAATATATGATAGCTTATCTTAAATGGCAACTAAAATTAGAAAGAAATTTTAGGCAGAATATTCCCATGTGCAATGTGCCAGTTCTTGGGTGGGAAGAGAGCTGAAGCCCCACTCAAGCTCTGCCGTTTGGGATAGAGCAGCACCTCCTGTTCCGGTGTCTTTCCAGTCTGTATGTTAATCCATAATGTTTTGAGAGCAACAGAAAGGTCACATAAATCTGAAGTTGTTTTAAAGGCTTTCATTTTAATTAAAGATATCTTTTCTAATTCATTCTTGTTTGCTGTTTCCTGAATTCCTATTCTGTCCTGCAATCCCTATTTATCTAATTAATCACTGGTCCAATACTTTGATTAGTATGTATTGTATTAGCATTAACTTAAACATTTTTAAATTTGTGTACACACAAAGTGGCAAATTATTGCATATGTGAAGAATGTGATAAATAAATATATTTGAAAAAAATTTTAGGCAGAATAAATTTTGGTAAAGTCATTACTGAAACATATTCCATGGCTTGGAAAAATTCCAAAAGGCAGAAGAGGTAAGAAAGGAACAGCTTGTTTACCACAGCTTTTAGCTAACGTCATTTCTGTCTCTAATAGAGTTGATTCCTTTGATGGAAGTTTTGTTTTGGAATTTTTTTTAAATGACTCTTGGTGGTTGAGCAACAGGATGTGAAAAGTAAATGCAAAGCAATTGTATTCCTGATTCTGTTTTACAAATATTCCAAATTTAAAATAGTTCCCTTTTATTTATATAGTTACTAAGGCAATAAGTATTACTATTTGTGTATTTGGTAGTTAATATCTCAAAGCTCCTATCACCTTTCTGTATTTAAAGTGATCATAAAATATTTATTAATGCCAGGCGTGGTGGCTCACACCTGTAATGCTAGTACTCTGGGAGACTGAGGTAAGAGAACCACTTGAGGCCAGTAGTTCGAGACTATCCTGAGCAAGAACAAGACCGCATCTCTACAAAAAATAGAAAAAATTAGCCATCCGTGGTGGCAAGTACCTGTAATCCAGCTACTCAGGCAGCTGATGCAGGAGGATCACTTGAGCCCAGGAGTTTTGAGGCTCCAGTGAGCCTTAACAACACCACTGCACTCTAGCCTGGACAACAGAGGTGAGACTCTGTCTCATCCTTATAAATTTTATTTCCCCTCTACATTACAAATGCCTGATAAAACCCCCAGCCCCCTGCATTTGCTTCCATGGGTATGCTATTAATATTTCAGCTCAATACTGGTGGAAATTTCAATAATTGCACCCCGACAATGCCAAGGGCTGTCCGTGCTCCACCTGCCTGCAGTGATGGGGTCCTCTTTAGCAACTGGTCAGTTGATATTTCAGCTTCAAAAGCACAGGTTAGAATTTGCTTTCTTAGACCAATTCTGGCACCACTGTTGCAGACCAGGTTGCTCAGGAAGAAGCCTTAGAGATGTAGATATGGAGTGCAGCAAATTTATTAGAGAATGCTCTCCAGACCAACATACCTGTGGGGACATGAAGGAAGTAGGTTTGGTCAGAGGGAGGAGTTAGGCTGCAATTTAGTCACAACAAATCTTGTAAGAAACTTCATATCTGAGATCGTCATGCAGAGTAGTCCTGAACTGAGGCACAGGGTGAAGCCTTTATCCCCATATATCCAATTGTTTATTACGGGCTGTCCCTGGCAAGTGGGGAACAATAGTTGAGGACAAAGGTCCAGAGGAGGCACAACTACCAGTTGTCAGCTGTTAACACTCCCAGCAACTGAAGGAATGAGTGCTTCTGACTTGAAAGGGAGTGGTGCTGGGTTGTGTGCCATGGAGTCCACTACGCCGTCATTCTTCACAGACTACAAGATTATGTACCTAGACAATTTTATTTATTTATTTATTTTTTTTTTTTTTTTTTTGACAGAGTCTCACTCTGTTGTCCAGGCTAGAGTGCAGTGGTGTTGTTAAGGCTCACTGGAGCCTCAAAACTCCTGGGCTCAAGTGATCCTCCTGCATCAGCTGCCTGAGTAGCTGGGATTACAGGTACTTGCCACCACGGATGGCTAATTTTTTCTATTTTTTGTAGAGATGCGGTCTTGTTCTTGCTCAGGATAGTCTCGAACTACTGGCCTCAAGTGGTTCTCTTACCTCAGTCTCCCAGAGTACTAGCATTACAGGTGTGAGCCACCACGCCTGGCATTAATAAATATTTTATGATCACTTTTAAATACAGAAAGGTGATAGGAGCTTTGAGATATTAACTACCAAATACACAAATAGTAATACTTATTGCCTTAGTAACTATATAAATAAAAGGGAACTATTTTTAAATTTGGAATATTTGTAAAACAGAATCAGGAATACAATTGCTTTGCATTTACTTTTCACATCCTGTTGCTCAATCACCAAGAGTCATTTAAAAAAAATTCCAAAACAAAACTTCCATCAAAGGAATCAACTCTATTAGAGACCAGAAATGACGTTAGCTAAAAGCTGTGGTAAACAAGCTGTTCCTTTCCTTACCTCTTCTGCCTTTTGGAATTTTTCCAAGCCAATGGAATATGTTTTCAGTAATGACTTTACCAAAAATTTATTCTGCCTAAAATTTTTTTTCAAATATATTTATCACATTCTTCACATATGCAATAATTTGCCACTTTGTGTGTACACAAATTTAAAAATGTTTAAGTTAATGCTAATACAATACATACTAATCAAAGTATTGGGGCCAGTGATTAATTAGATAAATAGGGATTTGCAGGACAGAATAGGAATTCAGGAAAACAGCAAACAAGAATGAATTAGAAAAGATATCTTTAATTAAAATGAAAGCCTTTAAAAACAACTTCAGATTTATGTGACCTTTCTGTTGCTCTCAAAACATTATGGATTAACATACAGACTGGAAAGACACCGGAACAGGAGGTGCTGCTCTATCCCAAACGGCAGAGCCTTGAGTGGGGCTTCAGCTCTCTTCCCACCCAAGAACTGGCACATTTGCACATGGGAATATTCTGCCTAAAATTTCTTTCTAATTTTAGTTGCCATTTAAGATAAGCTATCATATATTCCATTGAAGTTGCCATCTAAGCAAAATATGCTGTAAAACATCCCAACTTTGAACTTAAAAATATTAGTTACAGCTATAAAATACTTTGATAAAAGATATTTAAGAAACACTGCCTGAGGGGAAAAAAAGACATTTAAGGATCTAATTTGATGGTTTTAAAAAACAGAGTCTATGTTTCCCTAAGTTAGTTCGATCCAAATCTAAAAGTGCTAAATATAATTGAACTATTGATTTTTACTGTACCTTCGGTGATAAGCAGGAAATGTTATTTTATCCAACACACCTTATTAAGAATTCTGCTAGAAAACAGAGACGGTGCCTTCTCACGATGAGCATGAAAATTGAGAGCCATGAGAGCATCAGGTCCAACAGAAAAATAGTTGTTCATTGTGAATTCCTGTGAGAAAGGGTAAGAATGAGCAACAGACTATGCTTCCATCCGAGCCTGTGTTATAATATGTGAACCTTAATCTTTACACTTTTTTGAAAATTGAATACTTTCTGTATTTACTTTTCACATAGAGCTATTTTATAATGTTTAGTGAAGTTACCAGAAATAAAGCTTTAGTTCAAGGCTAATAACTATGAAAAGGAATCTCACTTTCCAGGAGGAAGGAGTGTAGCCTGGGAGGAGGAATCTGACTTTCCATTTCTGTTTTATATGTTACACCTCAGACCTGACCATCTATTATAGAAGGGCTCTACCTTATGCACCCAGATTTTTCACTCCTGTGTTCTCATGGCATTTGCTTTGTACCTGCTTTGCAACTCTCAGGCTCTCAGCTTCAGTCAGTCTCAACTCAGGCTATTGGTCCTCCCTCTTTATTTTGCTTCCAAACCCAGCATGGATCCCTGAACCTACATCTTCAGCTCTTTGTTTCTAAGCAGTAAGCCTAAACTTCCAACTTCTTGTTCAGTGCTCCACAGCCAAAATAACTCCTTTCTTCCCACCCAAAAGCTGAAACTTCCAATTTTTCTTGTCATGGTTAATGTCATTTCCAGACATCTAGTCATAAAAACTAGAAATCTAGTAGTAATATATATTTTCTCTCTTCTCTTTATATACTAATCAGTTGTCAAGTCTTGATCAATTCTACCTCTAAAATGTCTCTGGATTGTCTTCATCTTGATTCTCCTTGTTTTTGCCCTAGTGCAGGCTTCTAAACTATTTTCATACTATTTCCAGAGCATCTTTTAAATACGCAGATTTGCTATCTTTCTATTATTTGCTACTTGCTAACCATGCTTTGCACTCTCTCACCTCGATTCCCTTTGCTTCTATAGTCCTTTGTTCCTTTAAGCACCAACTCCCATGTCACTTTCTCTGCAATCTTCCCAGCCTGATCAGCTGGGGCAGAACTAAGCGTGCCTGCTCCCTGTTCTCTCCTAGAGCATGCTTCACAGTCCAGCTTGTGAGGTGAGCATGTAGGTTTCTCTTGTGCCCCACAACGAGGTCCCTTGAAATAAGCACCAGGTCTCCATATCCCACAACAGAGTGCCACATCTTATGTGATGTAGGCACTCCATGCATGTTTGATGAAGCCACTTGCAATGGAAGCACTAAAAACATACCTTTGGTTTTCTTAAGTTGTAGTATCCTTTATTTGTTACTTGAACTTTCCATCTAAAAGAGAAGTTAAAAAAACAAACAAACTAGTACTTTTTACCAAAAAAACTATGGCTTGGATATCTGGATAAATGAGGTTTTTCTAGTAAAATGGCATGTGAAAAAGTAACCACATCTTTCCTCAGTGCCAGAAAAGGAAAAAAAAAAAAAAAAAAAAAAAAAAGTAACCACATCTAAGTGAGCATTGTAAATTTGGGATAACTACTCAGCATAACTTATGATTCTAGCTCTACATAGCAACAAAAGGAGACACCAGCATGTATGTCTAAGCATGATACAGTCTTTTACATTTCACTTTATATCTCCGCAAGTGTTCATTTACAAGCCAAACGATACTGCCAAATCTCAAAAATCTACTTTTTGGGGAAATGTAACTTACCGATCTAGTTTAATTCCATCTGCTTCCATTACATTTCTTAAGACCTGTGCAACTGGGATTTCTCCAGCATAACCTGTGCCCCAACCCAGTGTATTAGATAGATCATTGCCTGTTCCCAGAGGCAAGACTGCAACTTGTGGAATGTATTTTTCTTGTCCCTAGAATATGGAAGATATATTTCAGATTTTTCTCTTCAAACTATTTGTAGGATAATATTTTATAAAATTTAAAGACCAAAGCAATATATAGATACAAATATAACAACTGTATGTTGTTTTGTTAAAGGTTATGTTAACTGCTTAATCATAACATCTCCTTACCTATTTAAAATTGGCAATATTTTCTAATATTCATTTGCATAATAAATATAAACCAAAAATATTGTATATTTATCTTAGAAGCTTCTGTAGTAGTTGTTAAAGACTAATACCTTAATCTTCATTTCATCAACTGCATCCAGGACCCAGCCCACAGTCCCATCCCCTCCACAAACAAGTACTCGAGCTGAATAATAGGGAAGAAGAGTACAAAGTTGTAGGGCTTTGATAGGAGGAGTTTTAGTTACATCAAAAACCTAAAAATGGAAGAAAAAGTAAAAATTATTTTTTTATTAAAATTTTTATCCAACACTGTCCTTCATTTGGGAGAACAATTTCCCTCTAGATGAGTAGAGTTATGGTTAATTAACAATACTGGCTACTGTGTATTTATCTTTAACAATATGCCAGGCACCGTGGCAGACTCTTTATATTCATTGTGGCTCATTCTCACATTGACCCTACAAAGCAGGAGTTAGTCTCATTATGTTGATAAGGAAACTGAGGTCCAGGAAAGTTAAATCACTTGCCTGTGATTCTCCAGATAATTAAGTGCTGAAATACAAATTCAAACTTATAGTTTATCCATTACCCCACATTGCCTCCTTCCTGTTTACAATGTGCTAAGTTTGTCTTTAACTAGTACTTCTTATTTTATACTGGTTTAAAAAAAATCACTAGTGTAAGTTAGTACAAATTTCTTGAAAACAATTTTGCAATATGTATAAACTGACATAAAATGCAAGGACTTTGGCCAGGCGCAGTAGCTCATGCCTGTAATCCTAGCACTCTGGGAGGCCTAGGCAGGAGGATCATTTGAGCTTAGGAGTTTGTGACCAGCCTGAGCAAGAGCGAGACCTGTCTCTACTAAAAATAGAAAGAAATTACTTGGACAGCTAAAAATACATAGAAAAATTAGCTGGGCATGGTGGCACATGCCTACAGTCCCAGCTTAGGAGGCCGAGGCAGAAGGATCGCTGGAATGCAGGTGTTTGAGGTTGCTGTGAGCTAGGCTGACGCCACAGCACTCTAGCCCAGGAAACAAAGCGAGACTCTGTCTCAAAAAAAAAAAAAAAAAAAAAACTGCAAGGACTTTGATACCCATAATTCCATAAATAATCCTAGAAAAATATTTCAAAAGACAAAACTGCCCTGTGTATGAAGAATATTCACTGTGGCATTATTTATAATCGTATAGTCTTGGAGACACTGCTAACCTCCAATAGCAGGAGACTGGATAAGTAATGACTATATCCATTCAATTACTTTAGTCTAAATATGTAATTATAAGGACTATGTTGCAATAGGAAAAAAATATTTATACCATTAAGTAAAAAAAACTAGAAGGTAAATTTGTATCTAGATTATTGCTATAGCATTAATATGTAAATGCATAGATAATTAAAGGAAAGAACCTATATCTGATGTGGGGAAATTGCAGGTGATTTTTTAAAATTATTATTATTATTATTTTTTTTTTTTTGAGACAGAGTCTCGCTTTGTTGCCCAGGCTAGAGTGAGTGCCGTGGCGTCAGCCTAGCTCACAGCAACCTCAAACTCCTGGGCTCAAGCAATCCTCCTGCCTCAGCCTCCCAAGTAGCTGGGACTACAGGCATGAGCCACCATGCCCAGCTAATTTTTTCTATATATATTAGTTGGCCAATTAATTTGTTTCTATTTATAGTAGAGACGGGGTCTCGCTCTTGCTCAGGGTGGTTTCGAACTCCTGACCTTGAGCAATCCGCCCGCCTCGGCCTCCCAGAGTGCTAGGATTACAGGCGTGAGCCACCGCGCCCGGCCTAAAATTATTTTTATAATTTCCCTAAGCTGTATAATATTAAAAGTAAAAAATACAAACTCAAAGGAAAACAACTATTGCATTTCTGATTGTTGTACAATGGGTTGTTTAATTTTTCAGAATATAAGACGCTTTTATTAGCATATGTTAATAGCTCAATCTTAATAGTACTATCCCTTATTTTAAAAATTGAGGTATAATTTACATATCATAAAATTCACCCATTTAAAGTGAACAAATCAATGATTTTTACCAAGTTTACTGAGTTGTGCCAACCACCACCACCACAATCCAGTTTGGAACATTTTTGTTGCATAAGATCCCTCAATGCCCATTTGCAGTCACTTCCCATTTCCAGCTCCAGCCTCAGGTAACCACTAATCTATTCTCCGTCTCTATAGATTTGCCTTTCCTGTACAAGTCACATAAATGGAATCATACAGTATGTGGTCTCTTGTGTCTGGCTTTCACTTGGCATAGTATTTTTAAAGTTCATTTACTATAATAAAATATGTATGTATCAGTAGTTTGTTCCTTTTTATCACTGAATGGTACTCCATTGTATGGGTACACCACATTTTGTTTATCCACTCACCAACTGATGGACAGTTGGGGTGTTTCCACTAATTGGCTATTAGGAATAATGTTGCTACAAACATTTTCATGCAAGTCTCTGTGGGACATACGTTTTTACTCCCCTTTGGCAGATTTCCAGTAGTGGGATTGCTAGACGATACGGTAAAGTTTATGTTTACATTTTTAAGAAACTGCCAAACTTTTGTAAAGTGGTGGTACCATTATTATATTCCCAGCGTAGGGGTTCCTATTTGTCCACATTTATGAATGCCTTGATCCTTTTGTAATTATTATTTTTTCCTACAATCAGATGATTAGTGATCTAAGGCTTTAAAAATCATTGCATTTTGGGAAAATGAAAAGCTAAAAATGAAAAGATTATTAATAAGGAAAAGAGTGTTTTCTCTTTAGTTACCTGGACTGGATTCAACAAGATCCTAAATTCTCCTAACAGTCCTTCTCCCATGTTGGTTCCACTACGGGAGTTGGCCAGGATTATTAATGGGGTCCACTGCTTTCCAAGCTTAGAGGCTAGCTATAAAAATTAACGTGAATTAAAAAGGTTTAGTATTTCAGAGATGGTGAGCATAGTTTCCATGTTTTAATAACAACAGTGCTGTAATTTGAGAAATAAAAACTGTACCAGTAAAAAACAAACAAAAAAACCCAAAAAACAATTACCATTCCTTTTAATGCAATATAAAAATCAAAGAACTCTAAGAATGGAAGCACACCTTAGAGATACCTTCCACTTGATTTATAATTCTCCTTCCAGCATATGCTTGGACACTCACTAAGAAGGAACTCACTAATAAGGCAACCTATTACACTGCTAAGTCAAATTATTAGAAAGTTTTGGCTTAAATTGAGTAGAAAACTTGTCTTTCAATAACTTTGATTCATTATTCCAATTTTGCTTCTTAGAGCAACTAGAAATCATTTGTTTTTCCACAGAATGTCTGTGCTCAAACACCAAAGCACTGTACCTTTTCTTAGTTTTATCTCCTAGGCAATACATCGCAAGTTCTTTCAACCATTTATAGAACGAACATTGATTTTTCTCTGATTTCTTACCTTGATTTTCTTTTTCTGGATATATTCCAGTGTCTTTTAGTTTGCAAGCTTGTTTTCCTTCTTTTTAAAATGATGTACTCAGAAATAGATTCAAAAATCCAGATTTTTAACAGCCCAAAGTCAAATGAAACTAATGCTTTTCATAATCTAACCATTTTTTTCTTCTTTCCCTGTCCGTATAGATGTAACCATTAATGAAGCTATTCTGTGGTTTTTACTTAGTGATTCTCATTTCTTATGATCTCAGATTGAATTCAGATAAATAAGAGGTTGCACATTTAAAAATATGTATCAAAACAACATTAATGTTTGAAGAATTTTAAATGCCCCTTTTCTTGCAGGAATATTGACAAAGGTGACATTTAAGATACAAAATCTTAACTTGAAAAACGTGTAATTTTAAAACAAAATAGTTCAATTATTTTGGCATATTAAAGTAGAAAATAAATCTATAAATTTTTATAATTTTTCCTAAAGAGCTACACAAAGACTGAGAGATATATTTGTATCAATTTTCATACACATACAGACACACTGTAAAGTACTGTCAACAGCTTTAATGCCCACCATTATTTGTGGAAGTATCTAATGTGCAACATAAACTTATCTCTTGGGGACCCTATGTAAAGTTCTAAACAAATTTTAGAACAAGGTGTGAGGAAAACCCATGTTTTCTTTTTATTGACAATAATCATGCATCCCAAAGCTGGCTGTTCATCAGAACCAGCTGAGGACATGAGGACATTAAAAAAATACAGATTTCTGGACCCACCCTAGACCGACTACATCAAACATGGAAACGGAGGTAGATTCAGAAATCTGTATTTTTAAAGAGCTCCTCAAGTGATTCAGATGGAGTTAGTGATTTAGAAACCACTAATACAACATTTCCACTTTCTGCCTAGACATGAAAGAACTCAAGAGCCAAATTTTTTAACACATTGCTAGGAACTGGGTAGGATTTTATGGCTTACCACAAGGGCATTTTATTTCCCCCCATGGTTTTGATCTTTTAAGTTTATTTTATTCCTGGGCCTGATTCTTCTTACATACAGTCTCAACTGCCTCAATGACTTAACTTTTTAGAAATCAATTATATAAAACTTTAATTACCACTTCATAATCTGTTTTTTTGTCTTTACGCATCTGATTAATGGAGGTTAAATAACTTGGTGGAATGATGAGGTTTCTGAATTCTCCAAAATCACACTTTTCATTCTTTAAGCTATTTTTCATGCACTCATCATGTACTGTTTTCTGGCACCAAATGCACCTGAGGGAAGGAAGAAGCAAAGACATCAATTAATTTTAAACCATAATCTTACTGATCCACAAACCAATCATTTTTGTCGAAAAAATTAAACCAGTAATTTCTTTTTTTTTTTTGAGACAGAGTCTCGCTTTGTTGCCCAGGCTACAGTGAGTGCCATGACATCAGCCTAGCTCACAGCAACCTCAAACTCCTGGGCTTAAGTGATCCTGCTGCCTCAGCCTCCCGAGTAGCTGGGACTATAGGCATGCGCCACCATGCTCGGCTGATTTTTTCTATATATATTAGTTGGCCAGTTAATTTCTTTCTATTTATGGTAGAGACGGGGTCTGGCTCTTGCTCAGGCTGGTTTTGAACTCCTGACCTTGAGCAATCTGCCCGCCTCAGCCTCCCAGTGTGCTAGGATTACAGGCGTGAGCCACCGCGCCCGGCCTAAACCAGTAATTTCATTACTAAATAGTAAGCATAGTAAGTAAATAGTAAGCATAAAATCTGGCAAATAAAAGATACATAACCATCTCTGCATAGTGACAACAGAGGAGTAACATCTGAACATATTTGGCAGTTTAATCTAACAGTGTTTCTTGAAGGGTGAGTTGGGGCCCCCAAGATCCATTCAGGGTGTCTGTGAGGTTAAAATAATTTTAATAATAATACTAAAAAGTTATTTCACTATCATTCTCTCAAAAGTGTACAGTAGAGTTTTCCAGAAGTTATATGACATGTGTTATCACAATAGAAGCAGATACGAGAATCTAGCTTAATTTTAAGACAAAGAAATGTACAAAACTATACTCTTCTCACTAAATTTTCATAAATATACATTATTTATGTTACCATTATCATTTTATTAATAAAATGAACAAATATCTTAACAATTTCTCAGTTTTAACTTATAGCATGGTAAGTATCGATATAATCCACATAAACCGAAGCTGATCTAGAACAACGGTTTTATGTCTATTTGTGCTTTGGTTGAAATAGATAGGTTTCTGAGGCCTAAAGTCCTTGCTGCTTAAATGCTCCACTGACCTGGGCCCTTGAAGAGTTTCTCAAGGTCCAGCTTGAAAATCTCTTAACTCATAAATATAAATAAAATAGTCCATTTCTTTTTGTCAGTTAATACAAAAATAATTTAATGTTTGCCTTTCAAATACAGATAGAAGAGCATTTGCATTCAGATTTGCCTGTTTGGATCCAATTCATGAAATAAGCAGGGAACAGTGCTGGTATAGGTCCCAGGTTTCTATTATTAATCTGCTAAGTATTTAATCCACTCATGGATAAAGCAGATCTGACTGGACAAACAAAAACAGGCCATCAGAAAAGAATGGTTATAATTAAATGAATTAGAAAAAGAAGAAAAACACTTTTCCACCCAGAGGGTACCCTCTTGGTCTTCTAGGTTAAGGCTGGTTTTCCCCTTTGGATATTCAGATTTGTCAAGTATTGACTACTGTTTATTCAAGAGTCTTACTTATTGCTAAAAGAAGAGTTATCTGCACAATCCGTTAAAGAGAAAACCATAAAATAATAACTTGTACAATAATGTTTTTGACACCTGCTTTCAAACTAAGCTTAAGAAACTATAATAGATTGGTTATGTGCTGAAGTATAATGCCTCCCTTATTGGTCTAACATTAACTTTAAAATAGTATATTATTATTGAAGGTAATCTGGAAGGATACCCACTGATTTATTTCATAATGGGAAGAAAAATAGGACTGAGGGATGGGAAGAATATTAACTTTTGACCCTACATTCTATTGTACTGCCTGAGATCCTAAAAACCAGAATATATCCATGAACTATATAAACTTATATTTTATTTATTTATTTTTTTTTGAGACAGAGTCTCACTTTGTTGCTGAGGCTACAGTAAGTGCCGTGGCGTCAGCCTAGCTCACAGCAACCTCAATCTCCTGGACTCAATCCTCCTGCCTCAGCCTCCCAAGTAGCTGGGGCTACAGGCATGTGCCACCACGCCCAGCTAATTTTTTTTTCTATATATATTAGTTGGCTAATTAATTTCTTTCTATTTATGGTAGAGACGGGGTCTCGCTCTTGCTCAGGCTGGTTTCAAACTCCTGACCTCAAGCAATCCGCCCACCTCGGCCTCCTAGAGTGCTAGGATTATAGGCGTGAGCCACCGCGCCCAGCCTAAACTTATATTTTAAATAATACTAACTTATGCTTGAGAATTCAGAAATATAAAAAGGCATAAAATAAAAATCATCCAGAGATATTCACTCTTAACTTTCTGATGTACTCATTCTCAGTTTTATAGGGCATATATGTTTGTTTTTCAGGGTAGGAATATGATGTGTATATATATGTGGATACTGCTTTTCCTCCCACACTGTATCATGAATATTTCTGTAAGCTATTAAATATTTTTTAACACACTGACTACCACACTAGAAAAAACAATTTTTTTCCTTGGGGCCACGGTGTTTTATTGTGAAAATCGAATAAAAAATTCAAAAATAAAATGATCCTTTCTAATTTAATGAAAAATTTGTTATTTATCATTGTTTTCTGAACATGAGTTACATGTAAGTAAATTGTCAATATTAATTGTAATAATAAGAATGGTAACAAGTAAGAGTTTCATGAACCAGCTGCACTTAAGTATGCTTCGGGAGGCCCTGGGCTCAAAACTACTGTGAGTTAAATACAACTTATATGACAGTTAATGCGTTAGAAATGTGGTTTGTAAAGAATGTATGATACTATATCAGATACATATACTATAATTCACTGAACTCCTTTTCTGTTTTTTAAAAAAGACATTTAGTTAGGTTCTGGATATCTGTGCAATATGCTTGTTACCAGCACATGAATGTGTTCATCATATCTAACGCTAACACTGGTCATCAGTATTTAAAAATCTTTCCTTGGCTGCACGCAGTGGCTCACGTCTGTAATCCTAGCACTCTGGGAGGCCGAGGCGGGCAGATTGCTCGAGGTCAGGAGTTCAAAACTAGCCTGAGCAAGAGCGAGACCCTGCCTCTACTATATAAATAGAAAGAAATTAATTGGCCAACTAATATATATAGAAAAGATTAGCCAGGCATGATGGCACATGCCTGTAGCCCCAGCTACTCGAGAGGCTGAGGCAGCAGGATTGCTTGAGCCCAGGAGTTTGAGGTTGCTGTGAGCTAGGCTGATGCCATGGCACTCACTCTAGCCTGGGCAACAAAGCGAGACTCTGTCTCAAAAAAAAAAAAATCTTTCCTTGATAATCTGATAGACAGAAAAGGTATTCTGTTGTTTTAATTTGGGGGTCTTTGATCACTAGGTAAAACTGAATTTTTTTTGGCTTTTGTGAATTTATGTCCTATATTAATCTTTCACTAGGTTTTAATAACTGCATGCACTTTTATTTACCTAGGATATCAACCTTTTTTCTGTCATACTTATTGCAAACATGCCTCAGTTTTCTTTAAATTTATTTTTTGAAGACAGGGTCTCACTCTGTTGCCTGGGCTAGAGTGCAGTGGTGTCATCATAGCTCACTGCAACCTCAAACTCCTGGGCTCAAGTGATCTTCCTGCCTCAGCCTCCTGAGTAGCTGGGCCTACAGGCACACACCACAGCCCCCAGCTAATTTTTCTACTTTTTGTAGAGATGGGGGTCTTACTATTGCCCAGGCTGGTCTTGAACTCCTGGCCTCAAGCAATCCTCTTACCTTCACCTCCTGAAGTGTTAGGATTATAGGTGTGAGCCACTGTATCTGACTTACATTTACTTTTAATGTACTTAAGTTTATTTATTTATTTATTTTTTATTTTTTTTTGAGACAGAGTCTCGCTTGTTGCCCAGGCTAGAGTGAGTGCCATGGCATCAGCCTAGCTCACAGCAACCTCAAACTCCTGGGCTCAAGCGATCCTGCTGCCTCAGCCTCCCAAGTAGCTGGGACTACAGGCGCACCACCATGCCTGGCTAATTATATATATATATATATATGTATATTAGTTGGCCAATTAATTTCTTTCTATTTATAGTAGAGAACGGGGTCTCGCTCTTGCTCAGGCTGGTTTCGAACTCCTGACCTCGAGCAATCCGCCCGCCTCGGCCTCCCAGAGTGCTAGGATTACAGGCGGGAGCCACCGCGCCTGGCCAAGTTTATTTTTTGATATATAGATCTACATTTTCCCTTTGTAGTTTATTTAAATGCTCTTATGCTTTAAAGTTCTTTACTATTTTCAAATTAGATATTAACCTATAGATACCTGCCCCAATTTGGTTTTCATATTTACATCTTTAATTCAGTATTTCTTAACCTTCTGGGGCTGTAGATTCCATTAAGAATCTCACGAAAGTATCAGGCTTTCCTGATACTTAATTTCTTGGAACCAGCAAATTAAGAACCCCCCATTAATTTTTCTGTAATTTATTCTCGTGTATTACAAAGAGTTAACCATTTTTTCTCCAAAGAGCATTTGTCCTAGCATGATTCATAAAATAATCTTTTGTATCCCAACTGATTTGTAACGTATCATTTATTATTTACTAAATACTCACAAATTTCAGAAAGATTCTTTTAACCAAGGTGATGGCTATCATGAGCCTTTGCTTTGTAAAGGTTGGCTAAAATGCTTACTAGTTATTCCATATATTTTTCTTTAGAAATACCGTATTCAATTTTGAGACCTATTATTGTCTTTTCATATCTTATAATTAGTATTTAACAACCTAGATTTCAAACCCAATGGGAAAATAAAGTATTACTAATAATGTCTTAATATTTTAGTTTTAACATCATGTCATTGTGCAATTCATTTATGATCTTTATTTTTCTTTTTATTTTGAAAAATTTTAAACTCGCAGAGAAGTTGAAAGGATAGCAAAATGAATACCTTTAAATCTACCCTTCACTCTGATTCTTTTTTTTTTGAGACAGAGTCTCACTCCGTTGCCTCAGCTAGAGTGCTGTGGTGTCAGCCTAGCTCACAGCAGCCTGAAATTCCTGGGCTCAAGTGATCTTTCTGCCTCAGCCTCCCAAGTAGCTAGGACTACAGATTTGCACCACAATTCCCGGCTAATTTTTCTATTTTTAGTAGAGACAGGGTCTTGCTCTTGCTCAGGCTAGTCTTGAACTCCTGAGCTCAAGTGATTCTTCGCCTTGGCCTCCCAGCCAGGAATGAGCCACTGAGCCTGGCCCGGATTCTTAATTAACATTTTCTCTCACAATTTTCTTTCTCTCTTTCAATATAAATTCATATTTCACTGAATCATTTGAAAGTAAATTACAGACATTCTGAGACTTTACCTTTCAATATTTCAGCAAGTATTTCCTAAAAGCAAAGAGTCTCGTTTTTAAAAATATTTTGCTTAAAATTTTTTTTTAAGTGAACACTGGTATGCCTACCACTTATTCTACAATTGACATCTTACTGTAATTGTCTTGTAACAGTTCTATCTATCCATTAATCCATCTTATTTTTAGTATATTGCCAAGTGCATATATTAGAATAATTCCTAAATATGCCAGCAAGTAGGCATATCATTACCTAGAGTTCACGACTTGTTTATAGGTTTTTACCTTTTGATGTCAAATTTATATACAATGAAATGTACAAATACGCACACTTGCTGAGTTCTGATAAATAAACATATTAATGTAACTAAAACTCTTAGCAAGACATAGAACATTATCCTAGTAAGTTCCTTCATATGAAAATATGAATGGCTTCACGAATTTATGTGCTATTCTTGTGTAGGAGACTACACCGGCTGCTTTAATTTTTTAAAAAAAATTTAACAAGGAAAATAAACCTGGTGTCAACATTACTTATTTTCTCTAAAAAGTCACTTGTTCACAACAGTTGTTTTCTTTAGTATGCTGGACAAGGCAGCTAATTATATGTGAAGTTGAGACGGTCATTTATGAGATTCACACTAGAACAAGAATCAGCAAACTACAAATATGTCTGCCACCTGATTATGTGAATAGTTTTACTGGACCACAGCTACGCCCATTCATTTATACATTGTGTATGGCTGGTTTTGTGCTGTGACTAAAGCACAGCTAAGTAATTATAATAGACTAAATGGTTGGCAAGCCTAAAATACTTACTTTTTGCATTTTACAGTAAGCTTGCCCACCTCTGCTCTAGATGATGATTTGGTATCTTTCATTGTTTCAGATAATTAATGAAATGAATAAACACACACCAACAGAAAATATAAAAATAAAATTTATGATCACAGCTGAGACTACCGAGGCCAACGTAATTACCTTCTGAATCAAAAGTTTTACTAACCAGAGTGAATGTGTTTGTGTGTGTGTGTGTTTTGGGAGGGGGTATGTAATATAAAAAAGGCCCTATAAATAAAAAAAGCACCTTAAGTTCTTTCTCTCTTAATAAGAGACAGAACATTATAAGGAACAAAGATTTAATAAATATAATGAATTCTTAAAAATATAACATAATTCCCTATCTTAGTCATAAGAGAAGTAACAAGAAAAAAAGGAAGGATAGAGAAAAAGTGGTAAGATACTAGGTACAGAAATATATTGTAGGGGTACAGGTAGGAGCACACAAAAAGAAAAAAATCTACCAGGAAAGTAGACTACAGCACAGTGTATGGCACAAAATAGATGCCCAATAAATGTATAATGACTGAATGAGTATAAATTAAAGGGCCTTTCTCACTTATTCTGCCTAGTTTAAGAGGGCTACAGGCTTTAAAATCAATTATCATCTGTTATTACTGCCCTCTGAAATGCTAACTTGTTGACCAGTCTTTGGAGTTGACTGACTTCCCTAAGAATGTGATGCAGACATGGAAGGAGCCCTCCTCAGGGCTGGACAGAATCCAGGAAGGGACAGTCTGGTCTGTGTTTAAAGGTTCTAAATCACTATTTATTTCTTATTCCAAAACATCTCATTCCTACAAGTCACAGCAGATTGTAACCCTGCATAAAATTATCAGCTAAAATAAACTAGTTCAGAACATTGTAGAACACACACAACTTTAGGACGCTGTACTCTCTTCTCCTGGGAATGATAAACACCTCTTAAATTATACAGAGATGATTTCTACCATGGGTGACGTGTACAGCTAGGAATAGACTGCTCAATAAATAACCTGTAAGAAAACATGCTAATGAGAAAAGAAGATCTATTCTCACATTCATTGTGTCAACAGGAAAACACAAAATTAAGGGCAGAGGTTTATGTTTTAAAAGATATATAAATAAGCAGTGTTTCTCCATCTTTAGAAGGAACTGCAGGGCCTGTTAAAGCAAAGACTGCTGATCCCCAACCCCAGTTTCTGATTCAGCAGGTCTTGGGTGGTGCTAGGGTTGCCAGAAAAAAAAAGAGGATGCCCAGTTAAATCTGAATTTCAAATAAACAACAAATACTTTTTTTGGTATAAGTATGTTCCGAATATTATAAATATTTTTTTTTTTGCTAAATCTGGCAACCTTAGTAGTTTGAGTTCTAACAGATTTTGAAGTGATACTGATAATGCTGGTGTAGGGGCCTTACTTTGAGAACCACTGAGATATAGAATATAATGCCATCAAAACTGGAAAAATCTGTGTGTGTGCTGGGGGGAGAGGAGTAGATCAGGCAAGGGTTCCTGAAAGAAAGGACATAAGTCTTTAAGGATGCCTAGAAGCTAGCCAGAATAAGGATATACTAGGACAGGAAAGCTTTGAGAAAAAGCCTGATGTTTTAAGGAAACTACAAGCAACTTGGTGCTACCGGTGCATAAAGTTTAATGCAGGTGTTGGACGATAAAACTAGAAGGGCAGAGAGGCCAGAGAGCACTAGGATCTTACGGGCCTATTAATATGCACCTGTGAGTTTACATTGTAAGACAATCAGTGTAAGTGATAAGGAGCAATTTAAAGGGTTTTGTTTATTTATTTTTGAGATAGAGTCTCACTTTGTTGCCCAGACTAGAGTGAGTGCCATGGCATCAGCCTAGCTCACAGCAACCTCAAACTCCTGGGCTCAAGCAATCCTCTGCCTCAGCCTCCTGAGTAGCTGGGACTACAGGCATGCGCCACCATGCCTGGCTAATTTTTTGTATATATATTTTTAGATGGTCAATTAATTTCTTTCTATTTTTAGTAGAGATGGGGTCTCCCTCAGGCTAGTTTTGAACTCCTGACCTTGAGCAATCCGCCCGCCTGGGCCTCTCAGAGTGCTAGGATTACAGGCGTGAGCCACTATGCCCGGCCTAATTTAAAGGGTTTTAAGCAGAGACTGATCAGATGTGCATTTTTAGAAAGATCATTTGGGTGAAGGATCAGAAGCACTACGATTGTCTGTTAAGCAGTGTTTGAAATACAGTTATTTATGGAAGCCACTTTTATCTAATTCTGCACAGACACAGAGAAGGGAAGGAAATATAACAATACTTATTATGGAATTTATTTTGAGCAGCTCATAACTTGGTTCTCACTGATGCCAGAAGATCAGCATATAAGTTTTAAAGACACCAAATAGAAAATGGTTATAAAACTTTGTAGTTGTCTAAAATATATATATATATATATATATATATTTTTTTTTTTGAGACAGAGTCTCACTTTGTTGCCCAGGCTAGAGTGAGTGCCGTGGCGTCAGCCTAGCTCACAGCAACCTCAAACTGCTGGGCTCAAGCGATCCTTCTGTCTCAGCCTCCCAAGTAGCTGGGACTACAGGCATGCGCCACCATGCCCGGCTAATTTTTTGTATATATATTTTTAGTTGGTCAATTAATTTCTTTCTATTTTTAGTAGAGATGGGGTCTCCCTCAGGCTGGTTTCGAACTCCTGACCTTGAGCAATCCGCCCGCCTCGGCCTCCCAGAGAGCTAGGATTACAGGCGTGAGCCACCGCGCCCGGCCTATTTTTAAAATTTATTACATTTAATTCTGATAATACTGTAAAATTATTTAAAATAAGACAGGTATTGACTTAATAGTGCTCATGCTAATTAAAAAAGATTCTTCTGTAAAAAATAAAAAAATGTAGTTTCCTGTGTAGCACCAGCTTTCTATTTCCATTCTTAAACATGTTTATAGACTTTTCTACTTGTCAGAAATAAAACTCATCACAATGAAGATGCCCAGACTTAAGGTTCAGACGAGGCTAGAGCCTATGTGTTGGTATTTCTAATCCTATCCAGGGGGTTAGAAATCCTGGAAGCCAGTCCTATTTACCAAATGACTAGACCTAAGGGTCTATAATTTTCTCAATCATGAAATAATGAGAATGGATGACCTGCAAAGCAGCATCTGTTATTACTAACTTCTAACATCAACAAGGCACATCATCTATTTTCAGACAATATTTAATGACAAACGTGTTGTTCACTGTGTATGTAAAAGCCACTAAATATTTTTGGCTTAATCAAGGTCACTGATCTAAGATTCTACATGTTCCCAAAGACCACCTGTCAAAACGAATATTCTTTTCAGGGTTCTTTTTGAGTAAATTTCACTATGATACTAATAGCTATACTAGCAAAAGATATTTAAGTGCTGCCTTGGAATGACATTTATTTTCACTGTACAGTCACAGTGCAGAACCCATAATGAATCAGTTTTGCGGAAAAAATAAAAAGTTAATTTATCCATACTTCATTTTTCCTTATTTAAAGTAAGGAGATAATAGCAACAAGGGTGGCCATGAAGCACACAGCATTTAGAAATCTCTGGATGGAAGTTAAAAGCCAGGTTTTATTACCCAAAAGGACAGGCTGGCTGAGGGTTGAAGGCTAGGCGCATCATCTCAGCAAATGATTACTGCAAGGCTACCCACACTTGCACAATACCAGGGATGTTTATTGGCTTGCTTCCTCGAGAAGAGCAGTTTAGGCCATTTGCAGAGATGAAAGTAGGCCTTTACATCCACTTTATGAAATCATGACTCCCAGTGTGCATTCTGGGCCAGTGGGTACCCACAAAGGGCATACCTGTAATCGCACAGCTTCGGTTGACTGCCGCACTGCTGCTTGCAAACCACACAGTAACTGCACAGGGGTACGTTGCCGCGGATCCAGTGATGGGGCATGGCGTCCAGGGCCTTGCTGTCATTCTTGAGCATGATCTCCTTGCACTGGAAGCGCTTGTCAGCCTTCTTGAGGCAGCCCTCGTCCACGCGGAGGCCGCAGCAGTCGCAGAAGGCGCCCTGCAGAATGTGCTGCGCACACACGCAGCAGTAGGTGGGCTGGCTGAACAGGTCCGTGTCGTGCCACCCGTGCTTGCTCTTGCGGAAGATGTCCCTGCGGTGCAGCTGTCGGCGCGACCGCTGGAGGCTACACCAGAAGGTGATGAACACCGGCAGCAGCACCGAGCACAGCGTCCACAGGACCAGGTGCCCGTCCGCAAACAGGCCCTCGGAGGGCGGGCCCAGCGCCGGCCGCCTCTCCCCTTCCATCTTCTCCGAGGACTGCGTCTACCTGGGAAAGAAAAAGGCAGAGTCCACCCGAGGCTCGCTCTCCGCTCCCCCCTAGCCCTCCTTCCTGCCCTTCAGGGACCAAGGCGGGCGCCATCGGCGCAGGTGGCTGCGCTCTCTCCCCCGGCGGGCACGCGCGTCGCCTCCAGGTCGCCCACCGCACACCTGCGAGCCGAGGGGGCGGCGTCGGGCCGTCGCAGCCCCGTCCCCTCCCTCCGTCCTTCCCCGGCCTCGGTTCGGGAGAACGTGCGGGAGCCCAGGGCTGCCGCCGCCTCCGCACCTCACCGCCGGGCTGACCCGGGGAAGCGCGCAACACACATCCACAGGCTGCCCTCCGCGGAAAGGCCGGACGTTCCGGCCGCGCTGCGCAGGCCGGCGTCCCTAACCGTCAGCCCGGCCTCGGCCCCGCACTCCCCTCCTGGGGCTCCCCCGCTCCGCACTCGGGCGCGGCCTCCGCCAGGACCCCGCCCTCACCCACGCGCGGCCCGGCGCCCCGGTCCCTCTCGCGAGGCCTCCGGAGACCCGCGCCTCAGAGCCCTGCCCGCCCTTGGGCCCTACCCCGCGCGGGACGGAGGGGCGGCTCCAGCCCAGGCCTCCGGCCGCCCTCGCGCCGCTGAAGCCGGACGCCGGGGCCTGAGGCGCGACCAGGCCGCGCGTGCGGAGCGCTGAGGCGCGAGCTGCACACACGCCGAGCCCGGCGGCCGGGGGGCGGGGCTTACGGGGGCGAGCCCCGCGGATGGGCGGGGCGGAGGTGTGAGGTGGGAAGGAAAAGCCGCCAGGCTGAGGGGGCGGGGCCGTAGAAGATAGAGACGATGGAAGGGGTGGGACACCGGAGTGGGGGCGTGGCCTAGGGAGAACGGGGGCGGAGTAACAATGGGGGCGTTTAGAAAGGTTGGATGCATGAATGCTGTGGATTTGTAATCATAGAAAGTTCTAGAAAGAATGATTTACAGTATGCGTTAAACTTTATGACCTTCAACCTGCTTTCTTCCTCCCCGTCGGGTGGAGGTGGGCGCTGAGAGGGTTTTGAATGTTGGAATGGAGAAAACTGGCAGTTTGGAGAGTGTTACACACTAGGGAATGGGGTAGTGCAAAGCAAACATTGATAAACGTTACCTGCGCTCTGGCCAGCCATGCACTTAGTGTGTGCCGGGCACTGTACAGGGAATCCCAGCTCTTACCGAGCACCAGGCGTGGTGACACGTGCCTACCAAGAAGCAGTATTTTCTAGCACTGTTTGCGATGCTTTCGTGGGGTGGTCCACAACTCTTTTGGCACCAGGGACCAGTTTCATGGAAGAAAATTTTTCCACAGACTGGGGGTGGGAGATGATTTGGGGATGATTCAAGCACATTACATTTATTGTGCACTTTATTTCTATTATTATTACATTATAATATATGATATATTACATATAATACATGAAACATAATATATAATTATATCTTATGTTTAATATTATATGTTATATATATTAGTATATATAAATTATATATAAACATAATATATGAAATATTATACAACTCAGCATAATGCAGAATCTAATGCTGCTGCGGATCTGACAGGAGGGGGTGCTCAGGCGGTGATGCCAGCGATGGGGAGTGGCTGTAAATACAGATGAAGCTTCTCTCTCTCTGGTTCCTAACAGGCCACGTATGGGTACTGGTCTGTGGCTGGGGGGTTGGTTGGGGACTGCAGGCTTAGTGCACCCCAGCTTCCGTCTCTGCACTTGCTAGGCACCATGCTAAGTTTATCATCCCTATTTTACAGATGAGGAAAACCAAGGTACAGAGAGGTTGAGAAACAGACTTCATATCACACAGCCAATGTTGAGACTGAGATCACTTTGTTTTAACTTGGTCATCCAAGTCAGCTTCATGATAAATTAAGCCATCAAAGAGAAAGTTTCTATTATTTTGTTTCTTTTCTGAGAACCTTGCCCTGGGAATGTTGTTAAAATGCACATTCTGATTTCCTTTCCCAGGGAAGAGGCCTGAGAATCTGCATTTCTGGTAAGCTCTCAGGTGATGTTGCTGCTGGTTCCAGGACCACATGTTGCATACTGAGGCTGAGGTGTTTAACAGTCTGGATTATGAAGACTGACAGGGTGGTGTGGTGTAATGGAAAGAGCGTTATATGGGATTGTGAGTCCTGGGAACAGATCCTGGGCTTCACACATTTGTGTCCTTCTGTGTTCATCAGTTCACCTCCCTGGGCCTCAGGTTTCTCATCTGTAACATGGGAGGTTACAGATATGTCCAGAGCATCCCTTCTGCTCTGATAGCCTGCGCCATGTGTAGAAATGTCATTGTCTTTTATGAATCCTGGCTGATGCAGAACCCTGAAACCAGTTTAAATATGTAAAGGTAACAAAAATATGCTTTTAAAAAGTGACAGTTTTTTTTTCATTCCCATTGTAGAGTCTTTGGAAAATATGGAAAATTAAAAACAAAGAAAAAAAGAATTATCCATATCTCACCCTGAAAACAACCTGTGTTTGAACATTTTGGTATATTTTCTTCCACTATTTTCTATGGAAACAGTGTTTTGTTTTGTATATGTACTTTTGATGATGTAGATATATATTCTCTATCTGGCTATTTTGTCATGTTAGCATTACAAAATAACTTTCACATGTTTTTAAAAAGTCATATTTAATGGCTACATTATATTCCAATCTATAAATATAGCTCACAGTTTGTGTAACCTTACTTTTGTTTTTGGCTATTTAAGTTGTTTCATATTTTGCTGTTATAAATAATTCCTCTGTTTAGGGCTATTTCCTTAGATTCTCACATTGAGCAAAAGAAAGTGAAAAGTTTAAGGCTTATGGGAAAATTTTTAACCATAATAGCCTCTCTTTGCTGTGTCAAAATCATCTGGAAAATTATCTGTATAGGGTAAGATTAATAGAAATTATCACATCTCAGGAAATACACTTATTTCACTAAAAGCAATAATAATAATGATTAATTATAGCCAAGCTGTGTTGACTGGTTAGTAGGTCCTACACACTGTGCTAAGTTTATCATCCTTATTTTATAGTTGAAGAAAACTTGCTTGATGTTACACAGCCAGGAGTCAACTGAGTTGGTGCTTTGAACTCAGATTGATTGATGCCAAAGACTGTGATGCTTTTAACACAGGTTAAAGTGGGTGTGGTGTGTGAACCGCCTGCATCAGCATCATTTAAAAATGTGGGTTCTCTGGTCCTGACCAGGTCTCCTGAATCAGAATTATAGTGGAGTAGGAATTTTCCTTCTTAATTAACAAGTTCCCCAGGTAATTCTTTTATCTATTTACTCAAAATTTTTTTGGCTTAAATTTTGAAATGTATCACACATAAAGAAGAGTGTATAAAACATATACACAGTTTGAAAATTAATAAAACAAACCCATGTGTACCCACTGCCTAGTGTAAGGCAGAGGAATTTGTAGGGCAGAGGAATTCTTCCACTTGTTGGGAATTCACTTGGGTGGGGCAATGAGCTAACGGGCAAACCTTTGCTTCTGGTCATTGCTTGCTTGCTACACCGCTGTAAGGGGAATTATGGGATGAGGTCATTGAAGCATGGGCAACTGGCCTATCAGGCAATAGAGGGCAACCAACCCACCAATTATTTCAAAAGGCAATAGTGGGCAACCAATCATTTTAAAGGTCAACGCATGATCCATGCGTAGTCGGCTTGTGCGCAGCTTGTGCACCGTGGGGATAAAAGGCATGCCGTTGTTCCGGTCGGGGTCCTTGCCTGTGAGAGTGGCCACTGCGTTGGTGCTCTGGGGCTTGGACCCTGGCTAGCCAGAAAATAAGCCTCCTCTTGTGTGATTGCATCCTCGATGTCTCTGCTTTTCTGTCCGGTGGGGCTGTGGAAGGTCGGTCCCTAACACTAGGTTTATATCTTGAATATCAGGGGGCTGTCATGTGCCCACCTGATTGCTACCCTCTTTCCCCATCTGAGGGAACTACTATCCTAAGGCTGTCTTCATTTCTTTGCTTTTCTCTATAGTTTTACCATCCCTGAGAGCATCCCTAAACAATATAGGTTTGTTTTGAAAGGCTGAAAAGAAGCCCAAACCTGGACCTGCTGGGAAATAGCAGTAAAGCCACTGGTAAGTGAAGCTTCCTAGGAGGAGGTAAGCTGAACAGTGTCTCTGAGACAGAGTCTGGATTCAGCTTCCCTAAGAAGATTCCACCTCGGGAATTCACCAGGAGTATGTTGGAACAGGGCTGTGGTTTGAACATCTGGCAAAAATATGGCTGGAGAGGAGAGGGGCTGCTTTCCATATTTGCCTCTCAGCTCATCAGGGCCTCTTTCAAGGTTAACACAGAATGTTTCCCAGGGAGACATGAGTGTCTTCATCTCATCCAGGAAATGGGGCATGGGAACAGAGGAATGGGAGAGCAGGGATCTCATCAGGTCATTGTCTTAGTCCATTTTCTGTTGTTATAACAGAATACTTGAGACTAGATATTTGGCTCACAGTTCTGGAGGCTGGGAAGTCCAAGGACGTGGCAGCAGCTTCTGGCAAGGGCTTTTGTACTGCATCATAACCTGGAGGAGAGGTGGAAGGGTAAGCTGGCCAACACCTGCACAAGAGGCCACAAGAGCGAGCCAAGCTTGCTTTTATAAACAACCTACACTCTTCCAGAACTAACTCACTCCTGTGAAAACTCACTCCCAAGATAACTGCCTTAATCCATTTGGGAGGGTGGAGTCTCCTTCATCTAATCACCTCTTGAAGGCCCTGCTGCCCAATACCATCAGTGGCAATTAAATTTCAACATGAGTTTTGGCAGGGACATTCAAACCATGGCAGTCATCAAGATAAACAAGGTACAAATAAGCTTCTGCAGCAGGCTCACCAGGCAGCCTGTCCTCAAATTGGCTTCTTTCACTGTGTCATATGCATTTAAGTTTCCTCCATGTCTTTTCATGGCCTGATAGCTTTTTTTTTTTTTTTTTTTTAGTGCTGAATAATATTCTGTTGTCGGAGTATGCCACAGTTTATTTATCCATTCACCTCTTGAAGGACATCTCGGCTGCTTCCAAGTTTTGACAGCTATGAATAATGTTGCTATAAACATCTAAATGCAGGTTTTTGTGTTGATATGTTTTCAAGTTTTTGGGTATATATTCTCTCATTAAAAAATATGTTTTTCTTTCTTTTTTAAAAATCTCACTCTCATTTTTGCTTTATTTTCCTGAAAGATTTCCTTAGTGTTATCCTTAAATTTTTTAATTGAGCTTTCAATTTCTGCTGTTATGTTTTAAAATTTTTTTTTGTTAATTTGTTTTCTAAATATTCCTTTTTTATAGCATCTTGTTCACATTTCATGGAAGCAAAAATTTTCTCTTATCTCAGAGGATATTAGTGTTATTTACTTATTTTCTCTAATTGCATGGTCTCTGATTGCCCAGGTTGCTTTTTC